ACGTTTCGCCGCAGACGTTTCTCTTTGAGCAGCCCATTTTTTGGCTGGACGTTCTTAACGGAATATCTTCGCCGTTGCGACTGTATGCTGATAGGTTACGCTGATCTTGTTCGAAACTGGTGTACGAACTGATATGGAATATATATATATATATATATATATATATATATATATATATACATAATTTACTTGGGAACGCCAGCATCCAGCTCTGGTTACACATATAGTGGGGTAGTCAGAATGTACTCCGATATTTATGGATATGCGGATAAAAATGACTGCCTATAGCTGCCGCGGCCGGTGGCGTAATTGATATAGCGATGAGCGAATTTAAGCAGCTTTATAAAGTAACCTTATGAACACTCCTGTCGCCTCTTGTGTTTTTCCCAATTCCTGGAGGGTTGCCTCTGTCATCCCTCTTCACAAACCTAGCCCTCGTGAGAGCGCTGGTAATTTCAGACCTATATCAATTTCACTTGCGCTGTCAAAACATGAGAACAAATTATGCACGAGCAGCTGTCGTCCTACCTCATTGCCCATGGTCTTTTAGCTCCATCACAGTACGCTCGTAGACCTTGTTACCCAACACAGGACGCCCTCGTCAACGCCGTTGAGTGGGCGGTACGTCGGGTTGGCGTTGGAGACATTGTCATCGTCACCTCCATTAATCTCAGCCGTGCCTTTGATGGTGTCGACCACGGTGTCCTGATTAAGCTGCAGTGATATGGCATCGATCCGAAATGGCTTGAGAGCCACCATGCTGGTCGGCAGAAGGTGGTGAGATGCGGTCCTCTCTCTTCTCCGCTGACTCAAGGGATCCCTCAGGGATCCTCGGTCGGCCCCATCCTCATCATCTTCACTAACGGCCTTTCATTTCACCGCCCTCGCGGACGGCTAGTGTCCTATGCCGACGACAATTGACTGCTAGACTCCGCTCATCCGGATCAATTGTCTGTTTTAAAACCCCGTCAGGAGGAAACCAGCCAAGTGATTTCATCCCACTTCACATCCAACCCCATTAACTGAATCCCACCGAAATAGCCGTTATCCTTCTTGGCACTCCACACTCCATGAAGAGAACTTCATCTTTTCACCCCGACATTACGGGACACAAGTTAAGCCCTTCACCGGCCCTGAACGTGCTGTGAACTACTACTGAAAGTACCCTTTTCTGTGAGGTGCATTCATCCCATGTTGTCAAAAAGTGCAACTCAACTTTTCTTTTGTATAAAATTAAACTTAACAAGGACAAGGACTTAACAAGGTGGTAAACAACTTTTCTATTTGTATAAAATTCGTCACCACTTTACCCTCGCAGTTCGTAAACTTCTCGTCCAGTCCCATGTCTTCCGGAGCCCCATGCCCGCAGCCCCGTAGCCCCCTTCATCTTCTGTGCTGCCTCTCGGCCTGTGGCGGAGCTGCGGCGTGTCATCTAAACGGAGTGCTAGAGGCAGATTAACTTGGGAGCCAGGATCGCCCTCGTCACCGGCACTCGTCGGCGAGGTTCAATGGCGGTGACTGCTCAAGCGCTGGGCCGGCGCGGTGTCAGTGACCTTGTCACTCACCGTGACGGTCTGGCTTGTACAGGGCCCTTAAAGGGAATGTCCCATATCAAAATATAGTTAAGAACGCGCCAGATATGATGAAATACGCTCACCCATACGCATTGTTATACTTTTAATTGGAGAGGGATGATCTAGACGATACATTTCTCCTGTGAAGTAAATATGCACATCAATATGCAAGTCATTGAATGCGTCTTCCTACCTGGCACAACACTGATTGAGAGCCGATTGACGGCCGTGATATCTGGAAATCGTGCTCACGGACGCCAAATATGAAGGACTCGATGTCGTATTGCACCTGGCCTTGGTCGCCGCATGGCCAACAGCATGCATGGCCTAGATCGCTGCATGGTAGGATTTGAAGAACGTTTTCATGGCGTCATGGATACACGGGCAAACTCGAAAAATCCCCGAAGTAGTATGCACCTGCCTGCGGGCGTTTAACTCAGATACTAAAAGATCTTAGGTCTTAAGAAAGGCAGGTCCGTGAACTGCATCGGATAATCTTCAAGATGGCTATTTCAGTTCAAAAGTCCATACAAATGTTGACCACTCGCTTCTAATGATTCGCGGGTCCCGTTGACGATTCAATCCCTGTTCAACCCACGTACCGTCGTATGCCAACGTGCCACCTGGGCGGCAGCGACGGGCGCCCTTGATCTGCCAGCTGTTCGCATGTCGACGGTACGCAGTTTTTTTCGCACCGCGCAGCATCATCCTGCGAGCCACCTGCCGCCGGCCATCACTGGCTTTCTCACCCGCAAGGGCGTTCACAGACTCTACGATAATGACGGTCCCGTTGTGCCATCTTTGTTTGCTTGTCGTTGTGTAAAATGTTTTGTCCATTTAGATTTAATTGATTATTTTGTTTTGACGAAGTTGTGTGAACGTCGGGATGATTGATAACCTGTGAATGTGGTCGCATGTTTGACAGTGTCTTCTGGACTATATTCGCTGCTGTCATTCGCTTCTGCACCCAAATACAAACCGGTAGGGAAACGATGTTCTTCCCTGTTTATGGTCTCACTGCATGGGTTTGACTGGAGTGCTTCGAAAACGCTGTGGGCGGTTTTTGCCATATTTTAATATTGCATTTTTACTACTATTGCGGTTGTACCAAATCAGACAATGAGCAGCTCGTTGGAATGATTCGTGAATGAAATGAACATGTTTGAACATGTGCGTCACTAAACCACGTGATATATCGTTGGTGCATAGGTGTCCAGGGGCAAACACAGCCTTTCAGTGAGCTGAACATCCAGGTTCACAGATGTTTCCGAAAGCTCAAATAGTCTTCAAAAACATTCGCCGTGCAATACGCCATGGGGAAAACCAAGTCACAGCATGGCGCTTCGCTGTGCCATAAAAGTTACGTTTGAGGTAGTTTCGGTAACGTAGCCGCTATTGCGTCGCGGGCACGTCGCCAATTTTAAAGGAAATTCTTACTTGCTGAACGAAATTGCCATGTAAACGGCAGAAATCATGTCTTCAATTGCACGTCCCTGAGACGTAAGCTGGGTTACGCTGGTCGGGTGAATGTGTTTAACTAAGGGACCATAAGGCATTTGTATCTGTTTTGTAGTTGTGCGTTTGCTCGAAAACCATCCACAAAGTGTCTTTTCGGGTCTTCTGCTCGTTAAACATTCGCTAGCTTCGGCTTGTTACATCACTCACTCACTCGTTAAAAGAGTGAAAAATTCATGGGCATGAGCACGTTATGAGCCTCATCGTGTTAGTACACCTGGCTATGATGATGGTATTATCAATCCTGGTGTTCAGAGTGGGGCGTGAGCCACGGGCTGCTCTTAGGCATCTACATAGCACAACATATCTCACATAATTTCTTGAATAATGGTAAATAGATGATAAGAAGTCCAGAAAACCGTACCAATAAGGAAACAGATGCACAATATGATATATATATATATATATATATATATATATATATATATATATATATATATATATATATATGTGTGGTGTGTGTGTGTGTGTGTGTGTGTGTGTGTGTGTGTGTGTGTACATAAACTAAGAAGCACATTATTCCTCACACAAATTGTATTGAAAATCACAGCGGACTGATGATCTTTTTCGATGGTTTGGCAACAAGAAAATTGAATATAAGGAATCAAATTCATCAACTAAAAAAATGAAAATAAAATTAAGATAACTTAAAATGATATTTTTACCAATACAAACGCCACAAAGGAGACTGTGCGCCGCTGTCATCTAGAGCTGATATTGGCCACACAACGACAATTTCCAGACGTCTGACCATGCACCAACAAAACGGCGGCCCGCGCACACACACGGAGATCCAACACAAAACCCACCTGACACGAAAAGTGCTCAACAACAGCACCGTCATCCCACGCTCCACGCAAAGGCAAAGACTCGTCGCTCTAGAAGCGATACACACCCGCGAATGGAACGCTCTCATAAATAGGCAAATGCGCGTGAAGCCTTCCATCTGTACAGAGGGCCACCATTAGGGCTAGGAGCACAGGAACATTGAGTGTTTCGCGTGTCGCGGATCAGCGTTGTTACCTGTCAATGATGAGCATATGTAATGTGTAAACGCTTATGTCTGCGTTGTGATATGTATGTGATATGTGTGTGGCATTACCGGTATTACAAAAAACCTGATGTAGTTGGACATGAGGTCCTTCTTGCAGGTCCTTGTCGCGGGAGAATTTGAATTTTACAAATAGGCAATTATATCGACTTTGTCCAAAACTGTCACTCAAGAACATGTCTAGTGAAAGATGAAACGTTGAAAACATAACTGATACCGAGTCATACAGTATAGCAAACTATGTTTTCTTTGTATCACCAGCTTTGGTGCCAATTTAAGCGAACATTGTAAAGAGGTAAGAGTTGTCATCAAATTTATTGAGAAAACACAAAAAGATGACTCTGCTGTGAGTTTGAACAGATATGCATATATACATATATATATATATATATATATATATATATATATATATATATATATATACATATTACCTGACCTAACGTGAAGTGTGAAAATCCCAAAGGTAATGGCATGCATACGCACGTGAGGTATGCCATTGTGTAAGGTATGCCATTGTGCTTTCCCGTCGCCATAATCACGTCACAAGAAGCTCCTGTTGGAGCACGAATCTGTTTTTGACCTTGACCGATTAGTACCGTGCCGTCACATCGGAGCCACGCAGACCAGCAGCCGCCCCACGTGCTGTACCGGCTCCATTACACATTGGACCGCGGCCTGCCGCGCAGTCGCCGGCCAGAACAACAGCGCTGGCCACGATCCGTGTGCGGTGCCTCCTCCCTCGGCGGCGTCAGCTGACCGTGCTTATCGTCTCTCGTATCTGCGGAGCGCTGGGTTCAGGAGGCGGCAGTGAGCGGGGCTAGCCGCCACAGCGGGCGACAGGGCCGGCCGACGCCTGCCCTCCCCGCGCCGTGGCGGATTGATCGCGGCTTGAAGTGGGGTGGCCGGCAGGTACGGCGGACCGGCGCCCCGCGAGCCGGCCAGTGACGCCGCGGGCGGTCAGGGCGTGGCAGCCGGGTCCGTGACGAGCGCCGTCCGACAGCGCCCGGGTCGCGCCCCTGTCGAGCGCGTCTGTCGGTGCCGCCGGGCTGCGGTTCCCCGCCGGTCGGTGGCTGTCCGGGCTGGTCTGAGTGGCGGCGACCACTCCTCCGCAGCCATGGCTCCGCGCTTCACCCTGCTGCTGCTGCTGCTGAGCGTGTGCCGGCCGGCGGTGGGTCTGCTCTACCCGCGCGCCTCCGAGTCTCGTGACCTGGTCTCGCTGGACGGCATGTGGAAGTTCCGCGTCTCGCCGCCAAGCGACCCAGATGTCGGCTTTCGCGACCGCTGGTACAGCCGTCGCCTGGAGGCGTCCGGCGACGTCATCGACATGCCGGTGCCCTGCAGCTTCAACGACATCACCACGGAGCGCGCGGTGCGTGACTACGTGGGCTGGGCGTGGTACGACCGCGGCTTGTACGTGCCCAGCGCCTGGAAGGACCGCCGCGTGGTGCTCCGCTTCGGCAGCGTTAATTACATCGCCGTAGTCTGGGTGAACGGGGAGGTGGCCGGCTCGCACGAGGGCGGACACCTGCCGTTCGAGCTCGAGGTGGGCACGCTGCTCGACCTGTCCGGCGGCTTCAACTGGGTCACCGTCGCGGTGAACAACACGCTGGACCTGGAGACCATACCGCAAGGCCATATCACGTTCAAGACGGACGAGGAGCGCTACCCACCCGGCTACTTCGAGCAGACGTACAACTTCGAGTACTTCCACTACGCCGGCATCCACCGCTCGGTGCAGCTGTACACGACGCCGCGCACCGTGTTCATCAACGACATCTTCATCACGACTAACTTTAGCGCCGGTACTGGGCCTCAGCCGACCGCCTTCGTCAGCTACGAGGTGGACGTGGTGCGCACCGACGACAAGCTGTACGAGCCGGGCCTGGTCCGCGTGCTGGACGGACTCGGCGGCGTGGTCGCCACGACCGTGCTCGTGCTGTTGCCGGAGCACGGGCGCGTGCGCGGCATGGTGACGATCCCGAACGCCACGCTCTGGTGGCCGGTGGGCATGGGGGAGCCGGCCGGCCACCTCTACTCGCTGGAGGTGGTACAGATGACGCGCCAGCGCGGCATCCGCGGCGCCGACGAGCTCGATGTATACAGGGAGCCGTTCGGCGTGCGCACCGTCGCCTGGGATGCCGACCGGCTCTACGTCAACGAGCAGCCCTTCTATTTCCGCGGCTTCGGCAAGCACGAGGACGCAAACATCGTGGGCCGCGGCCTGAGCCTGCCGCTGATCGCGCGCGACATCAACCTACTCCTCTGGAGCGGCGCCAACTCGTTCCGCACCTCGCACTACCCGTACGCCGAGGAGCTGCTCGACCGCACCGACGCCGCCGGCATCGTCGTCATCGACGAGAGCCCGGCCATCGGCCTGGAGGGCTTCGGCCCGAAGCTGCTGGCCAAACACCAGCGCGTGATGACCGAGCTGGTGGGCCGCGACAAGAACCGGCCGTCCGTGGTCGTCTGGTCGCTTGGCAACGAGCCCCAGTCGGACCAGAAAGCGGCCGGCCCGTACTTCCAGACGGTGTACAACCACACGCGCGCCCTGGACCCGACACGCGCCATCACCACCGTGGTGTCTGTGGCTCACGACGCCGACCTCGCCTCGGCCTCCATGGACGTGATATGCATCAACCGCTACTTCGCCTGGTACCAGGACAGCGGCCGCACCGAGCTGATCGAGCGGCAGATCGTGGCCGAGGCGCTCGCGTGGCGGCGCACCTTCGGCAAGCCGCTCATCGTCAGCGAGTACGGCGCCGGCAGCGTCGCCGGCCTGCGCGACCTGCCGGCCTTCATCTGGACCGAGGACTACCAGGCCGAGTTCCTGCGCCAGTACTTCCGCGGCTTCGACCGGTTGCGTGCCTCGCCTTGGTTCGCCGGCGAGATGGTCTGGAACTTCGCCGACTTCGCCGTGCCACAGGAGTACATCAGGCCGCAGTTCTGCAGCAAGGGCGTGTTCACGCGCGACCGAAAGCCCAAGCTGGCCGCCTACGTGCTGCGCGAGCGGTACATGGCCATGGTGCCCTGATCGCCAAAGGGAGCTGTCAATAATGCCCTGGTCGTCATAGGCAACTACCGATGGTGCCCTAAGTGCCATAGGGAACTGTTGGTGGTACCCTGATCACCAGAGGCAATTGTCGATGGTACCCTGATCACCAGAGACAACTGTCGATGGTGCCGTGATCACCAGAGGCAACTGTCGATGGTGCCGTGATCGCGAGTCTTCATACCGGGTTTGTTCGCACGGAACCGAAGGGCATCTGTTGCCATGCCAGGGTCATTGTAATCTGTGTTATGGGTGCTGGAGTGTCTTGTGACGCTCGTGTGTCTTTTGGGATGTGTGCGCCTTGAATAAAACAGAGGGGGGATGAAAAACGCCAACTCCGTCTCGTAAAATCCACTTTAGCAGAATCACGATTCCGAAGCGTACTTACTGTAAACGGAGCACCAGCCTGGTCTCCAAGACTGAGAGCGGCTTGGCCAGGCGGTCGGTGGACGTTGCTGGGATCACAAGCTTTGTCCACACAAAGATGATTGCCCGTATGTTGTGCGGAACAGGATCCGGACTCCAACGTGGCAGGATAGTCATGACACGAGGCGTCTATCACTGATGAACACATAGCTTGAGGTTAGCTGGCTACCATCTGAATGACATCACAACTGCGATTTTAGGTATTGTGGCAGATGACTTGTTTTTTATCTGCAATTAAAAACAAACCATCCAACCTGCTAATACAATGCTCTGCTGCCGACGCCAATGGAACAGCTACCTGTTTCTGCTCCCACTGAAAGATATGAAGATGATTGCCGCCAAAAGGTGCTTCGTCTAAGTGGGGCCTCGCATTCTGAAATGACCACCAAGCGGTACGACAAGGTCGCATGCCGTGGTGGGGGGGGGGGGGGGGGGGGCTCGTGCCACATTCCCCACTCCTCAGTGGACACAGTTCGATCGGAACGATAGTTAAACACACTTTATTCGATAATGGATAAATACGCGACACACTACGAACCAACACTGTGATATGAATGCAGGCACAGTGTACAAATATCAAGCGTTAAACAGCGTACGGTAGCGGACCAGTGCAGGTGCGACAACAATCCACGTTGCATAGGTGCGGTGGGGCCGGCGAGGGCCGGCGGCGACGTGAGACCACAGCGGCTGCCGGCGGCGGCGTGAGACCACAGCGGCCGCCCGGCAGCTGTCGACAGACGGCCGCCCTCGGAGTGTCGCCCCAGCGCGGCGGTGCGCCCGCGGCCGGGCAGCCGCCGGCTCCGCGGACAGGCAACGGCGCCAACAAACGCAACAATATATCACAGAAGGGGAGCCGAACGGCGGCCGGCTGCGTACGACGCCGCCGCCGAACCCAGCCCCGCGTAGAGCGCGACCGTGGAAGACGGGAGTTGAACGTAGCGTGATCAAGTATCGATAAAAGCATATTGCACCGACGTAACGCAGCGCGAGGTTCGCCGACTGGCCGCCGAACAGACTCGCGTGACGACGGGCCGCGCCCGACAGAGGGCGGGCCAACATATCACAAGGGCAAACGCGCTACAAAAACAGGGGCCGCCTCCGCAGCGTTGAACACTAGCCCGACAGCGGGCGGCAGCGGAGACGGCAGACGATGGGGTGACTGGCCGGACGCGGGCCGGGCAGGCGCGGCCCGCGCCCCTGTGGGGGTCGCCGGGGGCGGCGGCCGGGCGGACAGTCGGCGCTACTTGGCGTCGGTTCGTCGGCTGTGCGCCGTGTCCAACCGCAGAAACTCCTGCTTGAGGTAGCTCAGCGTCTTCATCAGCACCTCCTTCTCCTCACGGAGGCCCAGCACCTCGTCTTCGGCCTCCCGACACCTGGCAGTACGCGGGTCAGGTCAGGTCAGGTCAGGTCAGGTCAGGATCAGCATCAGACCAGACCAAGGTCGCAACACGCCAGGTCAAAGAGACACAGCCAGATGGTGGGGTCGCGCCAAAACAGGTCGAAGAGACGACCTCTCTGGCTGAGCACCCAACCGAAACAACATCCCCACCCAAATAAATATCACACCTGTCTCATCCCCACAGCGCACCACTGACCGACCCAGCCCCTGAACCATCGGCCGACGCGCCACCAGCGGCGCCCGCGGCCAGTCCGGCGACGTCGGCGGCAGCGGCGACGGCAGTCTCACCTGGCCTCCAGCGCGGTCAGCTGGCTCAGCCGCTGCTCGGAACCGCGCCGCTGCTCCAGCTGGTCCTCCAGCAGCTGGCAGCGCCGTCGCAGCCGGCCCAGCTCGCCCTCCGAGCCTGACGCAGGGTTGTTGAACGAGCTGGCGACGTCCACCAGCGAGCGGGAGCCGGAGGGACCGGTGCCGGCGCCAGCGCCACCTGCCGCCGCAGACGCGTCGGTCAGCGCGGCCGCGCGCCATCGTCACGGACGCCTGTGTCGCCGCTCGAAGCATTTGTTCGCCACCTCGTCACAAGTTTCACCAGTCAGCATCGGTTTCTCGAGCACACCAGCCACGTAGCGAGTCTGCTTCAGGATGGAAAACTCTCCAGGAACGTAGACGAATGCATCAGCTGAAGCAGCCATGCGATCTGTGCTGATGTTCACAACTACCTTCTTACAACCAAACACACATTTTAAAGCGAGACTGCTGGTCACATCCGCACGCACCGGCACAGCGAAATTCCGTTCACTGAAATGCATGCATGGCAGCACACAAACCTCGCTCAACGCATGGCGCAAGATCATCTTAACCCTGCTCCGTGTGATGAGCCTATAACTAATCCACGCGTGCCCTCCAACACACTCTATTCGGACCAGCTCTGGTGTCGCCGGCCGTGGGCCGTCTCCGCTCGCCTGGTGTCGGCTGCTGGACGGTGAGCACGCGTGCCCTCCATCACACTCTACCCGAGCCACCTCTGGTGTCGCTGGTCGTGGGCCGTCTCCGCTCACCTGGCGTCGGCTGCTGGACGGTGAACACGCCGGCGCCGTCCCTCGTGACGTGCACGGCTGGCAGGCGCAGGTCCAGCGGCACCACGCCCGGGCTCGTGATGTTGGGCGGCCGGTCTTCTGTGAGGCGCGGCTTAATACGCTCCAGGTGAAGCTGCGGCGACGGGGCGATCGGTGGACCACCCTTACCATCTTCGCCCCTGCGCACATTAAAGTCCTTGTTGGAATGGCAGCGCGCGTGATTGGACGTACTCAGCCACTGACTGGACTCTGGCCTCGTCCCTCAGATCAACATCCGAGAGCAGGTGAGCAGCGAGCTGGAGGTGCGTGCCAGCGAGCTGGAGCTGGCTCTGCTGATGAGCACCGTCACCGAACCTGACCGACTTCATCGAAGACGAGATCCTGCCCGTCGCCACTGCCGATGGAGGTAAGGCTGCTGGCCGGCCGGGAGCCGGCCGTCGCAGCTCGCCGCCTCTGGCCCCGGCATCGCCGAATAGCAGTGGTTGGGGGGGGGGGGGGGGGGGGGCGGAGGGTAAGGACTTTAATGTGCGCAGGGGCGAAGATGGTAAGGAAAGGAAGACAAATGATGTCTGTTTTGTCCGCCACCAAGACATGTTATGTTGTGATCGCTGCTCGCAGTACCGGTACACCTCAGCATGCGAATTGCCTTCGTTTTACTCCCTGGCAAGCCTTGTTTCCTGTTGGTGGTCAGTGGGAAGCCGCCCCGCGCTGGGCTCATGCAACCACAGACAGATAGGGGGGGGGGGGGACCCAGCATGGTTGCGGCAGAGTTCAACGGTCACCTGCTGACAGGGCCTAATGGCGAGACGGTGGGGACTTGGAAATGGTCTTGAACACAAGCATGGGTCGGCCGTCATATGTCGCCTAACCACAGCGTGAAAAGTGTGAAGCCGAGCCCGATGCTGGGACGCCAGAATCCCAGGGGCATTACAACTTAGGTGATGACCCTGCTACATCCCGCCGCGGTCGGCTGTCGATAATATCAGCCACGGTTGATATTACCGACAGTTTCGCCGAAACTGAACAGTAACGCGCCGCTGTACCCCGCAGCGTTCACTTGTCGGCTATTTCTCTTTTCGGGAACACGCGAGACTCCTTGCCTTAACTGCAAATGGTCTTAGCTCATATATTCAAGATAACGTAGCGCAATGCTTCAATTATTGCGCGGTGGGATGCACATTTCAAGGAGAAAACACACAACAACGTCCAGCATCTCTAAATTGCATCCATTCCTTTTTCCCCGTGGGAAATATTAGTTAGACTGACTGCAATAAAAACACCACCTAATTTCAGCAAACACGTCTAAAGGAACGAGAGCAGAATCGCGTGCCGTCAACGAGACAGTGCATCACAGAACAGAACCACGTCCACTTTGTGACGCACCATCGGCACAAGATGGCCGCTGGCCACTCGATGCTGCGCGGCCGGCCGGAGGTCAGGGGGCGGCGGGTGACGGTGGGGATGGAGCGCCACAAAACGAGGGTAATCATGTTTGGTGACGGGTTTCCAGACCCTATGAAACGAAGTAAACACCATCACAAATATTGAGTTATCTCACAGACACAATTTTTGAGACAAACGACGACGTAAGATAGTTAAATCTTCGCACGATAGCGCGTTTTTCAAACCAAGAAAACCGGACGTGACCGTCTTGACGCTTTCAGGTCGCCGCCACGCCAGGTAAACACGACAGCTCAACGGTGCATGTTTCCCCTCAAAGAGGAAAGGGGGAGGGGCAGCCCACACGGCCGGGGGCCGGTCCGGCGTCCGTTCACTCACCACGTCCCGCTTCCGCATGGCAGAGGAGAGCGACACCTCGCTGTGTGTGTCCTCAGTCACCTCGCTGGCGATCTCCACCGACGGCACCCGCTTCAGCGCCCCCTCCACCACAAACAGCGGGTCCACGGACTCTGCGGGGAGGACAAGCGGCCATCAGCATGCGCCCCCACCACATCGAGGAGAGCGTACACACTGAGCCGACCAGGTGACCTTCGGAACAGGCTTACAATACAGGGATACGCTAGTTGGGGTGTCTCAGCCGCCATAGCCCATCAGAATGTTGACCCCAACGGTGTTGAATAGACAGGAGAGCGGCAGCGGGGCTTTCACTGGCTGTTGAGACGAGCCAGCCGCACATCCTCAGCATAAAGACGGCGCTCACCAAACGGATGCCAGGGGTCATCTTGGACATATCCATGTGAAAGGTACAGCCATACATAACGCCATTTCTCGCCAAGGGATAACAGTGGAAGATGGAAGTTCAATTGAGTGAGAACATCCATCATCCGCCACGCCGCTCCCTTCATACACCAAAATGTAAGCATGACACACCGTGTGCTTCAGCTCAGCGAATTACTCATATGTCATACTTAAACAGACACTAACGACGCCGCAGGTGGGCGAGCACACTGACCCGACTTGTCGAACTCGAGGTTGAGCAGCACGTAGCTGTCCGAGTCGGACAACATGTCCGACATGACCGACATGGGTCGCTTTGGTCGTCGGGGCTCTTGAGCGCCGAGTCCAGCGACGACAGGAAACTATTGAGGCCGCGCTTCACCTGGCTCAGACCGGCGCCCAGCTCGGCCAGCGGCGGCGTGGGTCGAGCCGGCGGCGCCGCTCGCCTGGCTCACCAGCGTCGTCGGCACCGGCCGCGCCTGCCGCCGAGTGGCCGGCCGCCGCCGCCGGCCCGGCAGACACGTGGTTGGCCTCGGCGGCGGCGGCCGGCGGTGGCGGCGGCGCGGGCGGCGGGTCGTCGGCAGGCAGCAGCGCCGCCGTCACCTCCGAGAGCGAGTCGACGCGCGTCGGCAGCAGGCCCGCCTCCTAGAAGCTGGTGACGCTGGACGAGTCAGGAAAGACGGACAGGTCGCCGCCGGACGAGCCCTTGCTGGAGAGCAGGCAGGGCATGAGCAGGCTGATGTCGAGCTGGGGCAACGCGGCGCTGACACACTGGCTGCCGGCGCCGGCCGCGCCCAGCAGCCGCTCGGCGTCCAGCGTCAGCAGCGCCGTCATCTCCGACAGCCGCTCCAGCTGGCGCAGCAGGAACAGGTACTGGAAGTGGCTCAGCTGCAGGCTGATCAGGCTCGGCACGTGCAGCACCATGGTGAGATCGCTGACGCGGCCATCGCTGACGCTGCCCCTTGTTGCGGTTCTGGTACACCCACATGGAGACGGGAATGGCGTCGATGAACGGCACCGGCCGGTGGCGCACGGCCGACGTGCCGAAAAAGTCGCCCCAGAATGGGTCCATGTGGATGAAGACGACGTCGCGCGGCTCCTCCCAGAGCAGGCGGCCGGGCAGGTCCCGTCGGAAGTCCGGCACCGAGGCGACCACGTCCGCCGGCGCCGGCTGCACGTGGTCCTTACCTGGCGGCGGCGGACACGGTCTCCATGTCAGACGCGCCCGCTGCACAACAACGCCGACTGGCCACCGGCCCTACGCGTGAACCCAAACACAGGCTCGCAGAGCGGAAGGCATCGAGAATAAACACAAACAAACCGGTGAGCCGCACATGCCATGCTTGGGATCAGCAGCGCAGACAGAAGCACTGGCAGTCACCGTGCTCACAGGAAACGCACGCGCTGTACCCCGGTGACTGACGTTACAGGCGGCACACATCCGGCGCGCGGACGACTGCACTAGAGCGCTGCAGTAGGCAGCCAGTCAGTCGGACCAGGGCATGGCGAAATTCGCTTTATAGGCGCCCGCCGCAAAATAGCACACTCTGGAACACGGCGGCCCCTTAAACCAGCGATCGTAACTACCAGAGTTTTGAAACCGGATACTTGCGACAGAGGCCGGGGAAGAGGGCTGTTCGGGCAGGGGCGGCAGCGGTCCAGGACGTAGCGAGTGTGTGCTGCATCAGCCGGGTTCGGACAGGGGGCGGCAGGCGTCGAGGACGTACCGAGTGTGTACTGCACCAGCCTGTCGGGCAGGGGACGGCAGAGGTCGAGGAATGTACCGAGAGTGTACTATACCAGCCGGTCGGGCAGGGGCGGCAGAGGATCGAGGACGTACTGAGTGTGTGCTGCACCAGCCGGTCGGGCAGCAGACGGCAAAGACCGAGGACATACCGAGTGTGTGCTGCACCAGCCGGTTAGGCAGCAGACGGCAGAGATCGAGGACGTACCGAGTGTGTGCTGCACCAGCCGGTCGGGCAGGGGGCGGCAGAGGTCGAAGGATGTATCGAGTGTGTGCCGCACCAGCCGGTCGGGCAGGGGACGGCAGATATCGAGGACGTACCGAGTGTTGTACTGCATTAGTCGGGTTCGGGCAGGGGGGCGGCAGAGATCGAGGACGTACCGAGTGTGTACTACACCAGCCGGTTGGGCAGGGGGCGGCAGGGGTCGGGGACGTACCGAGTGTGTACTGCACCAGCCGGTCGGGCACCATCTGCAGATCACCGTCGCGGGCCGGGAAGTCGGAACCGAACGCCATCTCGCCGGCCTGCAGCCGCTCTAGGCACTTGGTCAGCCGGGTCCGGCGACCCTGCCGCGCGCCACGCAGACATCACACAACGGTCCCGCTGAGCTGTCGGCGGACGCGGGACCGAACGGGCCGGACCCCACCAGTGAGCCGGGCAGACACGCGGATCCGAACGGGCCGGGCCTACCAGTGAGCCGGCGGAAGACGCGGGTTCGAACGGGCCGGGCCCGCCGTGTGCCAGCGGAGACGGCAAGCCAGGCCCCTGACGACGGAGCTGCCGCTTGCCACGTACATCCCACACGCAAACACTCGATCAAAAGTTCTGAAGCGGGTGCCAGACTTGGCCAGAGGCATTTTCGCAGGACACGGACCGCCTCACACCTTGTCCGTCTGGCAGGGATCTGACACCAACACACGACGTGACGCGGACTCTGTCGGGCGGCGCGCACGGGCACCTGCCGTCGGGCGGCCATACATAACTGCCTCTACGGGGGCGCATCCCGACTTTCAGGCACCACATCAGGTTGCGTAAGTCTGGCACAGCGGGTACATCCTCACACTATATGCAGACTACGTAAACGTTAACGCCTCGGCACCAGACCACCTGAAACGGTACATACCAGGACCTCGTTCATCAGCACACACTCTAGTCATTCCATCAGTGTCCAGGGCACATACACCCGGCTCGGGGCAGCAGCACGTACCCGGGCCGCAGTAGGGTCGGGCGGCGGGTAGTTGCAGACGAGCAGGCGGGTCGTCTGCAGATGGAGCGTGCTCGGTCGGTCGCGCTGCAGCGGGTCGTCGTGCGTCGTCTCTAGCACCAGGCGCGGCATGATGGCCTCCAGGCGCAGGTCGATGTACGGCGCCGGCGCCGAGCCGGCCGTCGACAGCGACTTGGTCAGGTTGCACGCGAAGGCGTTCAGCCACAGCACGGTGATAGGGTCGACGATCACCTGTACCGGGTTGACGTGCACCATGGCCTTGGGCGGCGGCACTGCGGTGGAGAGCGGGCGAGGGGAGGGTTAACGGGCCGGCGCCAGAGGGCGCCGGGCGCCGGCGTCAATTTTCATAGGTTTTCAACATTCAGCGGATTAAACGAGGAGTAATTGCAAGTCATTGCTATGATACAAGGTACATCTGACTTAGACTTCAAATACGCGAAAAATACGTGTACATGCAAACGAATTCCAGTTAACAGGTGGCATCACGCTAATACATCATTCATGCATGCAAGTGACTTCAAGAAACTAACTGCAAGTAAACAGGCATCGCGCACCACGTGTCACTTATATCCATGCAAACGAATTCAATAAACAGGCATCGAACATCACGCGTCAGGCATCGCTCAGACATGAACACGATTCTAAAGGGGATGTTCCACCTTTGAAGCTATTGAGGTGAGCATCAGATATGGTGGGAAAAACTTACTTGCAGCTTTGGTAAACTTTCAAGGCTTAAAAACGACCCTAAGTAGCAAAATATTAGAGTTTGTAAAAATGCGCTCCATTACGTCATCGCTTGATGGCGTCATGAAATCAATTTGTGACGACGGCATCACCCGACAGCATCTGGCAGCCAGACCTAAAGAATGGCTCCAAATGCACGAAAGCTAACGCCAGCCGGCCATTCTCATCGCGGGCGCTGTGTCGGATGGCGGTTTAGTGAATGGCTTGTTTGTGATTTTTTGTCTTAGTACTGATCGTAGGAAAAGCTTTGGTGGGCTGTTTGACAAACGCAACGTACCGACCGCCAGCTTTTATGGCAGATTATTCACATCAAAGCACGATATACTGTGAAAATTGTCGTACAGTGCCATGAATCTCTCACCGAATCCTGTCAAGAACTGTTAAGGATGTCAATACTGTATTGTAGACCTATGCTTGCCTGCAGTGCTGTAGTCCTGACATTGATATCTTATGATGTGCACAGTCGTTACTTTCTTTAATATTTGTAACTGGAAATGCAGTCACATGCGAAGATAAACAGTACTCTATAACATTGCTATGAATTGATTACCAAAGTATTGTCATTGCTATGGTGAAGATGATGAGGTTGAGCTACCAAAAATGTTTTTCTTGCTCAGGACTATTCACGCATTCGCTGGTTAACGCTGATATAATCATGTGATACAGCGGCAATCTCATGGGTGATAGCCCTTTGCCAGTGTTAAATTGTTTGTTGCCAGTCATTCATAAATCAAACTGTTATCTTATAGGCTTGAAATACAGTAGTCAACTAATGTGGCACATTGTGTAACGGCACAGCTCAACAGAGTCATTGTGGCACCACCTCATTGCTGTTCTGTGGCATGGCATAATGGACAATGATGCGGTTGTTGTACTGCAGTCCCTGCTACTTTCATAATAAATTTCATCATGAGAAGATGAATCGAGCGTGCATTGTTATATTAACGCCGCGTCTGACTGACCTCAGTTGCTCAGCCTATTTTGGGAATCCACAATACGACAGTGACAGACGTAAACATGTCTTCTGCTTCCACAGCCATGCAACATGCCGCAGCCATCAGGATGCTCCACTCAAAAGTATTGTTCACACAAGTAATAGCACACGTATAACAACAAAATATTACATGTAGTGAAATAACACTGCAAACCTGCTGACTGCACAAAGCTGAAGATAGGACAGGTGCATGTAGTTATTAGATGGGCGAAATGAAAGGCAGTGACGAAGCTGCCAGTGCACACAAGGCTCACGATAAAGATATTGTTGAGTGCCATCCAAGAAAGCAACAACAATACTTTTCCCTCTTTCCCAGCACCCAGCAACTCACACAAGTTGCAGTGACTATGACATAAACCACTTACAAGCAATGCTTGCCTGCCTACAAAATTTGTTGAAACAGTAATATTTGCATCCGTAAAAATGCATCTCTATATGTTTCGAATTATTAATGGAAAAGCAACTTTGCAAACTCGCATCATGCAAGTTTATACCACGCATATGCATTAATAAGCCTCAGGGAGCTGACCCTACTGCCAAAGTGAATTGCTAATATAACGGCATGCAAGGAATTAATCACATGTCTTACTACCTCAATAGGTTCAAAATGTTGGCAAATCATAATGAAGTGGCAAGGTGTCTTTGTACACCCCTGCAGTATAGAAAGTGCTAGTGTTTCTTCCGGTTTGCTGGCATCACTACCTTGTCATGTTCAAACAAAAACACAAGGAAAGAGGCGGATATCGATATATCATATTCTATTGGGAGTCATCAAACTGAAAGAATACCAAAACAATGCTCCCTTTCAGAAGAACAAAGCTCGCACGCACACTCCCCATCACTTTAAGATCAATACAAGCACGCACCACCAGTGACCATACCCATTGAGAGCGCCTGATGCACACACTTACGTCAAATAAGTGTGATCCCGCACTTGCACAGCCCGCGGGACTGTCAAACTGTAAGTTTTCTCACAATTTAGGCACAGGTTATAATTTATAATTTAGGTTATAACGCCGCATTTCACCGTGAGCTCCCTCCACTTGTAGGACACATATGGAAGGACCCAATTTTGTGTTCAATATTTTAATTTGTCAATCAGGTGTGTCTTGGATATCTCGTAATATATACATATATATATATATATATATATATATATATATATATATATATATATAT